GTCTTCGCTCGTGACCGTAGCCACAGCACACGCTGCAGCGAGCTGCCTTGCAGTCATGTCTTATATGTCCGGATCTCTTGCAGGCTGGCGGCCTACAGAAGAGGCCTACCGAAGAGGCGCAAAGATGTGTTCTACTACTCCAATGTGGTCCGCTCCCTTGTCAAGGCACAACTTAGGCCGTTCGGCTTTCTTGACCGGCGGGGGTTGTAGATCGAAAATATGCGAGCATGTGAGTCAAACTGTATGCGCATATTTAGACCCCTTTGCCGCGGCCGGAACTTCAAAACAAATTCTGCAAAACAACTTATGCTTATATAATTTTCAAATCAGTGTGCGTTAAAGGTGACTCAGCATGTTAAAAAGTTCTCGAGGCACTGGTCAAGTTTTTTTTTTATATTTTGCAGTACGCTAGACCATGACAAAAAAGGCGTGGCTCTGTTTGCAATGTTTGCGTCTTGACCGAAGAGACAATACTTGGTTTGAATTTATATTGTACCGGCCTCAGACATTTAATGAAGGACAATATTACAACGTATAATACGTTCTTGCTTATATGTTTGTTGTGCATTTTATTGTTTCCACGTTTTTTTTTTTTTATATTTCGGGGTCAGATTATCTCATAAAACGATGTTACATATGTAGCTTCGATGACATTCTTTGAACATGAAATATGACTGCATGCGGTAAAGCCTGAATCAATTCAGGAAAGGTATGTATAAAGGGAGGACAGTTTGGATGCATGTCCTGTGTGCCTCTAACATGATTTGAATTTAACTGGTAAAGTTGTATTAATACTATGCGTCCTTTTATATTAGTACCATATTATGGGTGGTACCCAGGTTTAGCTGCCGCGGCGTAATTTTTGGAAGAACATATTACCGTCCCTTGCACACAAACATGGCTCTCTTAAAAAAAAAATATTTCCCAAAATAAAGGGAGGGTAAGCACCCATTACAGCGTAGAACATCGGACACAGCAGGAATTTGATTGAAACGGTGTGTCACAAAAAAGCGGGTCTATGAAAACTAATGTATGTCACTTTGAGGAAAAAATGTAAAATATAAACATATAATAAATAACAGGGAGGCGTAGTTGGGGTGCGCTTATTTAAAAATAAGAAATTACTTACAAAAAAAATTATTATTTTTTAAATTATATTTGTGACAAATCAAATTTAAATAGGGAAACCCGTGAACTAGCTGTGGATACTAGTAATGTAGAACACAATAGTTCTTGGACACTCACTAGACCAAAACGGACCAATATATAGGTAACACCATGTAGTAACACAGTGCCCGTCTGCTCCGAGCAAGTGGGAAGCGGAATGGAGGAAGCAAATATGTGTGGCTGTCGTGCGTTGGAGTCACCTCGGCGTTCAGCACACGCCTGTCGTGTAGCCACACATGGTTTCCGTAGAGGGCTCAATGATGCTGCCCCATTAGCACCAAATGCAAGTTATTTAGACGTCCTTGACCGACCGTTTAAACCAAAAAGCCAACTCCCGGTTTCCACCGAGAGGAATATTGGTTCATTATTTTTCGTATCATCCATTCGAAAACGAGTCGGCGCGAACGAATTCTGTGCGCACGATTCACAGTAAAGGGTGGTCAACACCAAAACGCAAAACGTCACCCAGAATAATGCGTAGAACAAAACTTCTTCTTTATATAACTTCCGCAGGCTGGATAGACTGAATGTGTACGGACTCTTCTGCCATCCAGCGTACAGGCGACGGGCGGTAGGGGAGGCGGTTTAGGAGGAAAAAGGAAAAACTCACATTGGTCTCCACGGGCGAAAAGAAAGAGAAAAAAAAATAATTTGTGATGAGTTTTTTTTTTGTATTTGTGAATGAGAATATAGCAAAAGCAACCTGTTTCTTAAGACTCCCTTTACTGTGGTCGTGTTCCGGAGAAGCTACTGCGAAAATCCGACGTTCTTCGGCTTCGTCCGGCTGCGATGAATATATTGAACATTCAGCCAGAATTGAGGAACCCTGACACGTTACCGTTGACGTCATAGCCGACGTCGCTCCTCTTAACCATTTTTGTTGTTGCTGTTTTCGAGGAGGAATTTATCTGGCTGGTTTGGACCGGCCTTAACCGCCAAAGTTCCAAAGTGCCACTGAAGCCGACGGCGAAACGGCCAGCGTTTTCTGCGTACGGGCTGCAGATGCACCACTGGCCGTACTTGTTTTGGAGTTCCGGTATTTTATGTCAACGAAACTCATTTGAATCAAGCTCGTCACGCCAAAAGAAAAAGCGTTGGAGACACTAAAATAGGAAGGTCTATGTGATATATCTTCAAGGATAATGAAAATACTACAAGCTGAAAAACAATGATTGAAAACGACCCCTTGGCTTTTCTATCTAGACGTCTGTATATTGGCCCAATTTTTTAATAATATCAAGTGAGCGTCGACCTCCGGCAAGGCCAGCGCTGGGCCGCGGAGATATGCAGCGAGCCGGGGGAGATTATAGGCGCGTCCGCACAACGCTCTTTCGGTTGCCAGCGTTGTCTGCTAGGCTGTTCCGTAGCCCGCACTCGGCCCCTGTTCATTATCTGCTAGCATAGCGCACCGCCTAAAAAAAAAAAAAAAAAATCTGGAAAGGGCTTGCCATTTTTGTATACTGCTCAGGCGTGGCACAAACCGCGCGTCATCTCGAGTTTAATTTACTTTTTCTTTTCATTTCATGTTTGCGTTTACTTTTGTGAACACTTACGAAAATGAAAAAATACAATGAGGCGACAAACTGAATGAATTGGGGCATTAAACTACCGTATTTACTCGCATATTGGTCGATACGTCGTATAGGTCGACCCCCTAACTTCGGGACCCCCGAAAAAAAAAAAAAGTTGAAAAATATAATACCGGGATTCGCGTATTGGTCGACCCCCCAGTTTTGATGAGGCGATTTTTGAAAAACAGGTCGACCTATACGCGAGTAAATACGGTATATACCGGAGACAGTGCTACAAGCCATCAAAACCAACCCACTGCTTTCATGCTCCCACGTGACATCGTGCTTCCCCGTGCAGTTGTACTGAACGGGAAGGCCACGTGACACACGTTTATCAATGGACCGGCCAAGGTGGCTCGTAGCGTCGGCTGCGGTACAACACAAAGTGAAACGCAGTATACACAGGGCTTCCCCTTGGTGTTTTCAATTATCGACTGCGTTGTTGCTGTCGTCATCTAGCCTATGTAGCCGAGTAGTCACACTTTCCTTTGACCAGAGGGCATGCGCACATCCTTTTTGTCTCCTCGAGTGCCTACTATAACACGGGAACGTGTTATCAGAATATCGATGGTCAGCATGACGCAAAAGGAAATAGCAACAGCAGTCGGGCTTATAAAGGCTACCGTATATAGGATTGCGAACGCATTCCCTAGAGGAGGGGCGTATCGGCGATGCATTTGGACATTGCAAGTGCCCTGCCCTCCTTTGCTATGGAGCAGGGGCTCTGCGGAATGAAAGGAATAGCCTAGCAGATGACGCTCCCGCCAGAAAGGCTTTGTGTGCACGCACTTAATCTTTCCCGTATCGCCACACCCCTCTGCGGCGCGGCACTGGCCGTCCCGGCGGTCGACGCTCGCTTGATATTATCAAAAACTTGGACCACTGTAGACGTTGGGAGGTGAAGCATCGGGCCTCGACTTCTTTTGGAGACGAGCCGACAAGCCGAGTGCAAGTTATATAGGAGACGCTGGTAGCAAAAAGTAGTAAAAAGACACCACAGAGACATACAGACACTTCATGTTTCTATGTTTTGTTTCTCGGATGTAGGATGCATGAACCAAACGGAAGATATGTGATGCCTTGATGATAAAGTTTCCTCTAATGTACGCTTACAGAGCAAAATAGTGTTATTTACTGCAGGTTTTACGTTTTTCTTAGCCAACATATCGCTGCAAAGGCAGCGTTTACTATTTTTAGATTTATGATATAATAATGCGCAACGTACAGTCGGCACGGAATGAAACGCGAACAGTGGGTGCATGGTTTTCGCTAGATGCTGCACCACCTGAACCAGATTGGAGCTGCAAGAAGATGGCTCCTCCTTCGATGTGTTAGACTCTTGCTCAGTGCGTCCAAACCTTTGGTGTTGCATCTCTAGGTGACTCAGCGTGGGTCAAAAACCATGCGCTTCATGTTCGCGCTTCATCTCGTGCCGACTGTACATGGCCACTGACAAAACGATTAGATCTAGGTGTGGCTTCAAGAGTACCGCCTCCTGCGGAAGCTACCTACCCTCCACAACCCTTGAACGTCTTCTGCACCTCGCGCCGGTAAATCACGGCAGAAAGCAAAGAGCGCAATCTGGGGGCACGGTGCTCCAACTATAATATCTGCTGTTCTCACTTCGCTGCGAATATAACAAAATATTGAAAGCCATTTTCCACAGAAATAATTTTTCCAGACACTCAGCTTCACCGACTCACGTGGAATCTGGGTGGCATTTTAGGTGTTCCATTCTGGTAGAGTACAAGTACAAATATTCGTTACCCAAATTTTCGGAACCAACGTGTGGGGTATATTTTTGTACTATGAACAATAAAGGTTCGAAGTCATTATCGTAGATTTTAATATTATTCGCAACCTACTTTTTTAGCCTGAACGATCAGAGTATCATATTGTGCTTTTACATTAAATATTCAAAGTTTAGTGTCATCACGTGCAGAAAATCTTCTACGTAAAGCTCGTTAGTTGTCGAGGAAGCTTATTAGGGTTTTCTTTTTTTGGTACCGTATTAAACTAAACATAGGAACTGTTGAAAATGCTAAACGTTGAAGAGTTCCCACGCATCACAGCAAAGATGCATTTTTGTTCAAGAAGGAGGTAATGTTCTCCGTCAAGTTCATCTGCCTGGCTTTCTCGATTTGTGTCATTTTTCTTAGCATGACTGTTGGCCAAAGCATGAGAAATATTCATATTTTTTGTAGCACAGTTGAAAGGTTTTGTATTGCTTTACCCACTGGCCGACATGGCTGCCTTCCTTACCCTGTGTGGTACCAGCCGTCTCGTATGGCTTCCGTCGTCTTGGCATCATCGTTGAGGTAGCCCTTGAAGACGTGGGGGCCTCGCGTGCACAGCTCTCCCCTCGTGTTCACTGGAACAATCTTGCCTTCGGCGTCCACCACTTTCACCTGCAGCGATTGAAGACGTAATATATTTTATGGCTTTATTACTGCCAACGTTACTATGTTCTGGGACAAATTTCTGCGGCAATGACGCGTAAGCTATAGCGCCGAAATACGCGGTTTTTCAGCGCACTTCATTGTAGTTCAACCAAACAAATTTTTAGTTCTAGCCTAACCAAGCAGAAATTATAAAGTTGTTCTTTCTAGCTTCAATTTTACAATATTGTTACGTTTTTAATTTACAAGAGGACGTCCATTGCCAAATTAGAACAGATTAGAAGTGTGTGACGCGCCGCCTGCTCGCGCTTCGTCGTCTTCTTCGGTGGTTCCCGGCACGCGCCTTAGCACGTCGCTACACTATCCCCCCTAAGGACTTGTTTTCTTGGAGAGATGATCTTTGGATCGGTTTTCCTGCTACACAACCTCGCCCCATTGCTGTGGTGTTAGACAGTTTGCTTGAACTTGTTTGTTTCGAAAAGTTTATCTTGAGTGAAGTCCTTTCAGTATGCAGATTCTTGGCATGAAACTTCGTGCTCATTTGCACACATTCTATAAAGTTCAGGCCGTCCTCACAGTCTGCCTGCAGCACCAAAGTCCAGCACGTTAGCACTTTTGGAAGATTGATGCGAAGAGTCCTGATACCAGGGGGTCAAGTGGTTCACTTATTGTCACCCCTGGCGACATGTCAGAGAGAGAACAAATCTTATGCCGGCACAGAATATGTCGGTGCCTAAGTTCACAGCGCATTTGCGCCTTTTGAAAAGTTAACACCGACAACGATATGCATCGGCATTGCCTAATACAGGAGACACCATGATATTTCGTGAATGCTTTCAAGCGCAAAACTGCCACAACCTGTCCGAAAACCATTGAAGCCTAGCGCGCACTTATGCGCTTTTGTGGCGTGGGCTCCCGGGAGACCGTGACAGTCGGCTAGCGTTGCTTCAGTGATGGAACATGGCGAAGGAAGCTGGTCTGGTCGGTGGTAATCCAGGCAGGGCCGCGCCACTCAACGAGGTGCTGACACTCGCGCAGAGAATGTCCTTGTGCCTTGTAAAATGATTTCTTGGGCCGTCAGGAAAAATGCCGGGAATCCCACTTCTGACACCAAATGTTATGTTTTTAATTTACAAGAGGACGTCTATAGCCAAATTAGAACAGATTAGAAGTGTGTCACGCGCCGCCTGCTCGCGCTTCGTCGTCTTCTTCGGTGGTTCCCGGCACGCGCCTTAGCACGTCGCTACAATATTATTATATTATGGGTCAGAATATGCTAAACTTGTAACGTTTTTGTTAGGTTCTTAGGGATTTCTCGATATATAGTTGTCGCACTGTTTCTAGTCATTCGCCAAAACAAACATGGCATTTTTCTCGTGTATGGTGCATAGAGAACACCTTCCGCGAGCTCGCCCTTTCTTTTTCTACGTAGGATTCTCGTGACCATTGGCAACCAAATGTTGTCAAAGCGAATTAAGCAGTTGGTATGCAACATGCACACACAAGTCAGATACTGGGAACCAATACTCTCCATTGTTTTTATGCACCCATTGGTTTTCACCAACTCAGTGGCGTAAGCGAGCTAGAGTTCAAGATTCCTGGACCTAGCGTTGCGTGCTTTCGCCAAACGCGTTCCGAGCTAAGGTGCGCCACCGACTCCACTAGGGCCAGAGGTAAGTGAAAGCGATCCGAATCAGATTTGACTTCATGCCGTAGTGTGAGCGTCCTCCTATTTCTGTATAACGCGTCAGCGCTAGGATTTTTCAGCAACAGAAGAGTTTAGGTTTTAACGACCTCAAAAATGCAGTGCCGATGAACTTCCGCTTATCTGCGTCGGTCGCAAGATAAAAAGCATTCAATGAGATTGACCACGGTGGTAATTCAGCTGTCAAGTCGGTCCGAGTACTTTAGTCAAAACGTTGGCCAGAGTGTAAAAACTGGTAAAACCTGGTAAAAGAGGCGCGTATATGCCCGCATGCGCGGCGATCGCGGTTCAGCGCTCTCAACTGCTCTTCTCATACAGAGAGATGAATTGTATCAAATGTGTGTCTGTCACACAAGAACCCAAACTGAAACCGAAACCAAAAAAGCTTAGGACTACTTGGAGCTATTGAAAAATCTCATTTGTACGAGCAATTTCTGCGTTTAATCAAAACATATCAATCATACTACATATATAAGAACATATATGGTTCCTCTATGTTCTTATATATATTGTAGAGTTCTTATATAGGTCTGACATGGTTCTGATATGTTCTTATTATATGTTGTATGATTCATATGTGTTTATTGCACACACGACATTGCTTCCACAATAACTTTTTCAATTAGGTCATTCAAGCAACACACACAAACACACATCACCCAAGCGTTTCCTCCATCGCCACGGTGAAACGCCATCATTACGCGGTGCTTATAAACATTTGTATCGCATAGAACACATTTCTGATACCATTACAGCCGACCTCAAAATGGTGGCGCTTCGAACGATGGGAGGAAGGCTGCTGACAAAAGGGGGTTTTCTGCTCATGGAAGTTGCGTCTATAGGCAGTTTTATAATTGAAGTAGTCTAGTAACGTTGCTTACTTCGAAAATATATTTTAAATAGCTATTATATTTAAGTTAAAGCGTTTTGTGCAAATTTAGAAACTTTCACTTACAATTTAATGTTAGTGAACATAAATTTATCTTGTGGGCGGCCTGTTAATAGAAACGTTATAAACCAGGTACTTCACATGCTAAATCGCATGTGGTCATTTTCGTCGTGAGGTGGGCAAGCAGAATTGGCCAAGTGAGTGTCGTTTCGTCGCTCATAAATTACCGTGCAGGGTACGCGCCTAGAGATTTTTGGGTTACAGAGCGCAGTGATAACAGTCAATAAATTACTACATTTCGTTGAACCAGTGTTATGTCATCTCCGACGCCGGTAAGACAAAGAGATATACTACACTGTCGCCAATTCATGTTATGCTACACGTCTAAGAGGAAGCCTGCACACCAACTTCGTTTCAGCTTTTGGCTTTGTCATTTTCATGTTTTTACGGACAAGCAGCGGTGACGAATCCTGCGGTCTTCATCATCGACACACGCACTTTGAAGCGACGGGCGCAGACGAAGCTTCATAACCTAGCCTAGGCGTCTGACCCTCGGTGCCCCCCACAAGTACGTGATGTCGTCTGTGGAAAAAGGCGATAAACGACGACGTTTCGTCAGTGGACACAATCTCCGAGAAGCTTACCGCCAGAAACAAAGATTCCGACACTAAGCCATTGTTCGTAGTGACTGTATACTATCGTAAGAGAAGGTTAATCACAACTGAAAGTTGCCATTATCACGCTTCTCCAAGTACAATGAAGGAGAATAGCGAGTTCAAGCCCAGCTCCTGATGCAACTACTCCGTCCCCCAAGGGCCTAGTCGACAACGTTCACCTCGGACCTCCGACACTAACAAGCTGCGCCTTGAGTTGACAAAGAAACATTAGTCACTTTTATTTTGCTCGTCTCAATGACTGATAGAGCAGCGCACTGAAGAAAGAAATAAAAAATGCCACTAAAAAAGTGAAAGCCATTTACAAATCCCTGTAACGCCGAATTGGAGCGCAGCTCTTGAGGAGGAGGAGTGAAGGGTACTGAGGGGAGGGTAGACCCCTCCTCCTTCTCCTCCTCCTCCTCTCATTCTTTAATATGCTCCGGGGGGGGGGGTTCACGTGACCTCGGGGGGGGGGGTGTCACGTGACTTCGGGGAGGGGGGTCACGTGACCTCGGGGAGGCGTGACCTGGGGTTCACGTGACCTTGGGTGTCACGTGTGGGTCACCTCAAGGTCACGTGACCCCCTAGGTGACCCCCACGTGACCTTGGGGGTCACGTGACCTGGAGGGGTCACGTGACGTCGGGGGTCACATGACCTTGGGGAAGAGACCCCGTGACCTCGGGGGTCACGTGACCTCAGAGGTGTCACGTGGCCTCAGAGGGGTCACGTGACCTCGGTGGTCACGTGGGGGTCACCTTGGGGAGGAGACCCCAAGGTCACGTGACCTCAGGGGGTCACGTGACCTTGGGGAGGAGACCACGTGACCTCATGGGTCACGTGACCTTGGGGTCACGTGACCTTGAGATGACCTTGGGAGGGGTCACGTGACCTTGGGGGTCGCGTGACCCCAAGATGACCCCACATGACCCCCAAGGTCACATGGGGTCCCGTGACCTTGAGATGACCTTGGGAGGGGTCACGTGACCCCCAAGGTCACGTGACATTGGGGGTCACGTGACCTTGGGGTGACCTTGGTGACGCCGACGGCAACGCCGACGCCGCTAAAGCCGGGAACGGGCCCCTAAGAGCTGCGCTCTAAAACTGACATAAAAATGAAAGCCTGTAACACCGAATTAGAGCGCAGCTCTTGAGGAGGAGGAGGAAATGGCACTGGGGGGGGGGGTCAAGTGACCTCGGGTGGCGGGGGGGGGGGGGGGGGTCAAGTGACCTTGGGGTGTCACGTGACCTGGGGTTCACGTGACGATACCGATGCCGATGACGTCATACGCGACGTAACTGATGACGTGACTGATGACGTCATCAGTGATGATGACGATGACGATGCGGATGCCGGTGACGTCATCAGTGATAATGACGATGCTGATGCAGATACCGGTGACGTCATCAGTGACGTCACTGATGACGTCAGTGTGATGATGACGATGCGGATGCCGGTGACGTCATCACTGACGTCACTGATGCCGTCATCAGTGCTGATGACGTCAACGGGGTCACGTGACCTCGGGAGGGGGTCACGTGACCTCAGGGGGTCACGTGAACTTGGGGAGGTCACGTGACGCCGGGGGGTTCACGTGACCGGGGTAACCATCGTGACCCTCGTGAGGGTAACCCTAGTAACCCTTGTGAGGGTAACTCACGTGACCCTCGTGAGGGTAACTCTCGTGACCCTCGTGAGGGTAACTTTCGTGACCCTCGTGAGGGTAACTCTCAAAACCCTCGTGAGTGTAACTCTCAAAA